TCAAACTCCTGACCTCAGGTGATACGCCCACCTCAGCCTCCCAAAGTGGGGGGATAGAAAAGTATAATTTTAAGAAGATCAAGCTGATAGGGAAGAAACTGGAGAACAAGCAGACTACTTAAAAGAGTCAGGCACAAAGTGATAGCTGGACATAGTGGCTGGCGCCTGTAATCCCAGCTACTCAGGAAGCTGAGACAGGAGAATCGTTTGAACCTGGGAGGCCGAGGTTGCAGTGAGCCAAGATGGCGCCATTGCACTCCAGCCTGGGCAAGAGGAGCGAAACTCCATCTCAAAAAAAAAAAAAGAAGAATAGTAAAAAGCTTACTAGCTGTGTGAACTGTAAAGGGAGGAATCAAAAGTCTAGAGTTTCTAGTTTGGGTAGCTGGGAAAACGGTGGTCCCAATGATATGAGTAATAAATCTGTAGGGGAAGGTAGTCTGTTGAGAGATGCTGTAATAGAAACTATGTGAAATGTCTAGCCCCATAGGTCCTTCATAAATGGGCACTTGGTTCTCCCCCATGATACATGTTTCTTCATTTCTCAAAAGTATTTATCACATAATTATCTAAAGTAGCAAACTATAATTTTAAAATAATTAATTTTACTTAGCATTTAAGGTATATAACCTCAGTATTTAAAGTAAGATAGATCTGTTATTTATGTTTTTGCCATGTTAGCTTTCAGCCATTGATTTAACAAATAACCGAGTGCCTACTGTGTTTCAGATACATCTATTCTAGATGTTGGGATACAGCATTGAACAAAGCAACCTTAATTTAGTATCTTTAAGGAGAATATATTCTAGCCAGGTTTATTTGGTTTTCTTAGCCATGTTAAACAGTCTTTGAGAATGTTTGGTAAATAATGCCTAATTCAAATTGATACATTTATTTTTAAACAACTCACAGTAAGTTATTTATCACATACGCATGTTTTTTATGAAGTTTACCTTGGATTTATAATTTTCAGTACTTTTTGTTAATTTGAAATTTTTAATTTTCTTTTAGCAGAATATGTTCTATAAATAGATTTTCATAAAAATCTAAAGAGCAGCCATATTTAAAGGCATGTTTTCATGCTTTTATGGACTTGATTTTTAATTTTCAAACAGTTTTGGAATTATGTTATCTTTAGGTATACAGAAGAGAAGTAGAAGAAAATGGGATTGTTCTGGATCCTTTAAAAGCTACCCACGCAGTTAAAGGCGTCACAGGACATGAGGTCTGCAATTATTTCTGGAATGTTGACGTTCGCAATGACTGGGAAAGTAAGCTGTCATTATTAATATATTTTAATCTAATTATTATTTTGAATTTAATATCAAATCCAACCTAGTTTTCTGCATCTCATACATAGTTCACAAAGTCAACTTAGAAAGTATTTGGAAAATCATATAGAGGACTAACAATACATTTATGTGGAACTTTTCAGTGTACAAAATGCTTCCTACTATGTAATTTGATCCAATAACCTCAGTAATCCTACAATGATAAGTAGTTATTATTGCTTATTTTACATACAAATTAAGTAAAATTCAGATAGGCAAAGTGACTTGTCAAAGGCAACAAGGTGGAGAAGCCAAGACTGAAATTGAAGATTTCTGTTTCATCATCTACTTTTTCCTAAACTGTTTCCATGGTAAATCCTAGGTGAATCCTTTTGTGATTACTTTAGAATTATTATTTTTTTTTAGATGGAGTTTTGCTCTTGTTGCCCAGGCTGGAGTACAATGACGTGATCTCAGCTCCCTGCAACCTTTACCTCCCCAGTTCAAGTGATTCTTCTGCCTCAGCCTCCCAAGTAGCTGGGATTACAGGTGTACACCATCACGCCCAGCTAATTTTTGTATTTTTTAGTAGAGACAGAGTTTCACCATGTTGGCCAGGCTAGTCTCGAACTCCTTACCTGAGGTGATCCACCCGCCTCGGCCTCCCAAAGTGCTGGGATTACAGACATGAGCCACCGCGCCCAGCCTAGAGTTACTCTTAGTGTGTATTCCCCTTAGGCACACAATCTCCTAAGTATAGATACTTCTCAACATCATGTTTATCATTGGCAGTTTGACATCCCTTTTTCACAGAAATAGCCACCTAAGATTAGATGTAACAATTTATTTAACATCAATAAATTAGGGAAAAAGGGAACAGTTTTAGTGTTAGGGAACTATTTGTGCCTGAGTGATGCAGTAGTGATTAGAATTGCTTTCTTGCTGTGGGAGATAGATATTGGGCCAAAGAAAATGAGGCTTCCTGGTGATCAGACCTCACATCCCTCATCTGTAACCACAATGCTAAGTGTTAGCTACCTTCCATTTGGACGTAGCCTAGATAGGGCAGGATCTTGTTCAATTGACCATACTGTCCATTCGTACGTGACTTTCATCATAAGTTAATTGATCACATTCTAGGAAAAGATAATTTATCTTTTTATTATTCTCTTCATTTCAGCAACTATAGAAAACTTTCATGTGGTGGAAACATTAGCTGATAATGCAATCATCATTTATCAAACACACAAGGTAAAGATCTCTTCATTCATCCTAAAAGGACTTCAATGTAGTTCAAACACAGACATGCAGATTCCCTAAAGTAAAATTGGGGAGGTTATTAAAAGGCACAAAAATCCAAAGACTTTATTAATGATTCTTGAATGTCATATATTTGAAAGGTGTATCAACCTGTTCAGAGCAGAAATGTGTGAAGGCAAGAATCTGAGAGAGACAGTCTAGAAATAGAGTGCTTGATAAAGATCAACAGTTAGTTCCCTTGATGCAGTTTTTATTTTTGAAGAGACAGGGTCTTGCTATGTTTCCCAGGCTAGGCTCAAACTCCTGAGCTCAAGTGATCCTCCTGCCTCAGCCTCCCAAGTAATTGGAACTATAGGTGTATGCCACGCTCTCAGCTTTCTTTATACACATTTTAAGTCTAGAAAAGAGCCTTCTGAAATACTGAAATACATTTAAATACCTTTCTAGTATCTAGTCTCTATTAAGAGGTAAATGATAGTTACCAAATATGAATGTGAATTATAGCTTCCTGTGACAACAACAATAAGGGTAATGGCTAGTATGGTATTAGCCTATGTTAAGACTAATAGATATAAAAGTAAGTGGATTATCTGAAGGCAAAGAAAAATCGCAGAGCATGACTTGAGAGGTTAGTCATACACCAGAGCACACAGAAACATAAATTAGTTCCCTTTCACCTTATTTCTTCTTCTGCTATTCTTGATATTTAAAATTATAGAATTAATATTTCTCTTGCCTTATTCTGCTGTTTCTTTTCTGAAAACTGCCCAATAACATAATGTGTATAGCATAATAAAAGGAATTAAAATTTTGGAGAGATCCACCAAAAACAATATTAAACATTATAAAAGAAATATAATGATTTAATAGATACTTTGTTTTTCCAATTCAGTGAGTACTTCATTTTTCTTTTTTAAATGGTTTTTGAGTGCGTTGTATGAAAACATTAGTGTGTTTTGTATTAAGCTCAGTCTTGTCATCTGAGACATCTTGTATGTAATAATTAGGAGCCATACTTAATTTTACATGATAGCTGCTCAGAAATGCATAACAGTTAAGATTCTGTTTTAGCATACAAATTTTGAAGTCTAATTTGAAATCTAAAATTTAGTAAATGTCAGAATATTAATAAGTCGCCCTATAATTGGGAATGAAGATAAATAACCAATAATTTAGAACCAAAAGAGCCTTATTATCTGAAAATAATCCATCATGGAAAACAATCTGCTGAAGGTATTCTACTAAATAAATAGTAGATGGAGAGAGGGTCATATAAGTTGTATCAGGATTGAAAAATAAAACTAAAAATTATTAAAATCTTATATGTAACAAAATGTGTTACAGTTATAATTATTTGCCAATTCTTGGAATAAACAAATTGTCCTGGAATAATTTTTTCAAGAAAATCACATTACATTCACAATGTATGTAACCATACCACTAACACTATATCTGAAATTTATCATCACCCCAGACAGAAACTCCGTACTCATTTAAGCAACAACTCTCCATTCCCCTCTCCTCACATTCCATGATAATGTTCTGCTTAGACTCAAAGTCTATAGTGTTATTTACACTACAATATTTTTCCCTTTAAATTTGACTTCTTTTACAGTATGGTCTTAAAAGAGGACTACTGGTCTCTTGATGTTTAAGTCATTCTCATTCTTTAAATTTCTATCTTATCATCCTGTGGATTTGTATTCGTTAGGTCTAAATTTGCCAAATCTTCATGTATTACTGTCCCCACACAATTTACCCAACATTGTGTTCGTCAACTGCATGAAATTTTGTATCTTTAAAAAATGAATCATTTCATCTTGCAAATGATTTGTATTGTATGCTATTTATTACTCTCAGTAATCAAGAATGACACTGCATAATAAGGACTAGTCCAGGTACATATATGAGATAACCAAAACAGAAGTAACAAACAGGATAAAAGATTTGTGTTGGATTTTTTTTGTTTTTTTTCTCATTTAAAGGAGGTAGTCCCATTTATTGAAGACCTAGGCTCCATGTCATTCCCAGAGTATATGTTTCCCCTTGCATACCTTAATATTGAAATACTCAATCTAAGATACTTAGAGTTCTTTCTAATGTGATTTGATTCAAAGAAGTCTTTTTTCTTTAAATCTTTGAATCTAAGCGGACCATAATCATGGAGTATGAGGAGAGAGGAATGGAAAGTTGTTGCTTAATGGGTACAGAGTTTCTGTTTGGGATGATGATAAATTTCAGAGATAGCCGTATGGTTACACAGCACTGTGAATGTAATTAATGTCCCTGAATTGTACCTTAAAAATTAGTTAAAATGGCAAATTATATGTGTATATATTTTACTATAATTTAAAAAATAGAACATTATTCCTTTTATTATATTGTTCTGCAAAGCTATTAACTCTGTTCACAATTAATCATTTGGTAGATATCCTCAGATGCTTTCCGTTTAAAATTTGAGAGATTTTACCTTCAATTAAGACATTTATTGGCATTACATTTGTTTGTCCTGTTAGTTCCATGTTAGATCTGTTTTTCAGAAGATTTTTACTTCTCCACAGAGGGTGTGGCCTGCTTCTCAGCGAGATGTATTATATCTTTCTGCCATTCGAAAGATATCAGCCTTGACTGAAAATGACCCTGAAACTTGGATAGTTTGTAATTTTTCTGTGGATCATGACAGTGCTCCTGTAAGTACAATATATATAAATGTGTATAATTAAACAATATAAAGCTAAATACACAATGCAGGATAAAGACGATAAACACATCCCACACACAATACTTGATTTGATAATGCTTCTTATTGTGTTAGATTGACTGCTAGCAATAGTATAGCCCATGTGTTGTCTGAGAGCAACAGTCATGGCTATGAACATTCCACCAGGGCCATTTACCTTTCCTTCTAAGGTTTGGTGAAACAGCCAAAAGGGCAGTACGTACCCTGGGCAATAGGCTACTTCCCACAGTTATCTCTTAAGCTATTATCAACTACCAGCCAAACCTCTGTGGTTTACCACAATTTAGCTCCATTTAGCACTTAAGAGGAGGGAAGCCTGGGCAACATGGTTAGACCCCATCTCTATTAAAGAAAAATTTTGCTTTTCTTTTTTTTTTAATTAGCCAGGCCTGGTGATGTGTACCTGTGGTCCCAGCTACTCTGGAGGTTGAGGCAGGAGGATTGCTTGAGCCCAGGAGTTTGAGGCTGCAGTGAACTATGATGGCGCCACTGCACTCCAGAGTGGGCAACAGAGCAAGACCCTGTCCCCGAAAAAAGTGGGTGGGGAGGAATCCTGGTGTCATATCAGCTTGGTGCTTATAAGATTTCACTGGAGATAGTTTTTAAGAGTTATGATTTTGGTTAACCTAATATGAGACTAGACCAGCAGAGTTTACAAAATACTGGGTATCTACTGATGCTTTGTTTTTTGTTTTGGCAGCTAAACAACCGATGTGTCCGTGCCAAAATAAATGTTGCTATGATTTGTCAAACCTTGGTAAGCCCACCAGAGGGAAACCAGGAAATTAGCAGGGATAACATTCTATGCAAGATTACATATGTAGCTAATGGTATGTATTTTATTGTTTTTGCTCTTTGATAATGTGGCTGTTCTTGATCATGACCTATATGACAACAGTTTGGACAAATGCCTTTTTAGTTCTTATCCATTAGTTTACTGAATTTTAATTTGGAGAAAGGTATATCAGAATTACTAGAGAATCTTTGAAAATACAGATGTCTGAATTTCACCCTGGAGCTACTACTATGTGAGTATTTCTGAAGCTAGAGGTGGATAAGTAAATTTTAAAACTTTATCCCTAGGTCACTGTCATATACCCTTCTTTTTTTTTTTTTTTTTTCCTGAGATGGAGTCTCGCTATGTTGCCCAGGCTGGAGTGCAATGGTGCAATCTCAGCTCACTGCAACTTCCGCCTCCCAGGTTCGAGCGTTTCTCTGCCTCAGCCTCCCCAGTAGCTGGGATTACAGGTGCCCACCACCATGCCCAGCTAATTTTTTGTATTTTTAGTAGAGACAGGGTTTCACCATCTTGGCAAGGCTGGTCTTGAACTCCTGACCTCGTGATCCACCCACCTTGGCCTCCCAGAGTGCTGGGATTCCAGGCGTGAGCCACTGCACCCGGCCTAGCCTTCATTTTTAAGCACCATTTTCTTAGATATTTGCCTAATAGAATGTGTTTATAATTAGGAATATAAGCAACAGTGGGGAAGAAAATTAAGAGTTCTTTTACTCATTGTCAGCCTTTTTAACTTTCTGAATCAGGACTCCCCTAACCTTATTTGTTGCTAGTTACATATTTATTTCTCTCTGGCATTCATTGTCAGGCTTTTTGTTTTCTGAGTCAGTGCTTCCCTAGTCCTTATTAGTTGCTAGTTACCTATTTCTTTCGCTTTGGATAGGCCTTTTCATTGCTTGCTTTGGGTCCTTGTTTTACCTACTTTGCACCTGCAGTAATCATTGCAACCTCTCTCATCAAAAGTCAAGCCTTCTTCATATAGGGCCATAACTGCTAGTATGTTTAAAGAAACAGTTGTACCTGAGTAAGTTACTATTTAATTACAGTACAGATTTATGAATAAATCTGCCTTAAATAACCTTAAGTGGTGCTATAGTAATTTTTACAGGTAATTTCGGGAACCAAGAACATTGTAGAAAGGTTATAAATGCTTTCTTATTTGCTGTCTGATTATGTCTGATGGATAGTGTTAAGGAATGAAAGGTTGGGACTTAAAAAATGCTAATTAGTCCGGCCAGGTACAGTGACTTATGCCTGTAATCCCAGCACCTTGGGAGGCTGAGACGGGCGGATCATGAGGTCAAGAGTTCGAGACCATCCTGGCCAACATGGTGAAACCCTGTCTCTACTAAAAATACAAAAATTAGCTGGGCATGGTGGTGTGCACCTGGAATCCCAGCTACTCAGGAGGCTGAGGCAGGAGAATTCACTTGAACCCCAGAGGCGGAGGTTGCAGTGAGCCAAGATCACGCCACTGCACTCCACCCTGGCAACAGAGCGAGACTCTGTCTCAAAAAAAAAAAAAAAGAAAAAAAGAAGATGCAAATTGGTCCAATGTGAGGAATATTTTAAAAGCAAGGGAACAAATTAAGTGCTTCACATATGTTTGGAGAATCGTATCTTAATACATTTTAATTTTCCTTTATCTTACAGTGAACCCTGGAGGATGGGCACCAGCCTCAGTGTTAAGGGCAGTGGCAAAGCGAGAGTATCCTAAATTTCTAAAACGTTTTACTTCTTACGTCCAAGAAAAAACTGCAGGAAAGCCTATTTTGTTCTAGTATTAACAGGTACTAGAAGATATGTTTTATCTTTTTTTTTTTTAACTTTATTTGACTAATATGACTCTGTCGATACTAAAATTTAGTTGTTGAAAGTATTTGCTGTGTTTTTTGATGTTCCCCTATAGAGTATTGTTTCGTTGGTTTTTGTTGTTGTCATTGTTGTTGTTTTAAACAGGGTCTTGCTCTGTTGCCTAAGCTGGAGTGCAGTGACATCATCACAGCTCACTGCAACCTCGACCTCTGGCATCAAGCGATCCTCTCATCTCAGCCTTCACAGTAGCTGGAAGTCCCCGCAGGCATGTGCCACCACACTCAGCTAATTTTTTATTTTTTGTAGAGATAAGGGTCTTGCTATGTTACCCAAGTTGGTCTTGAACTCCTGGCCTCAAACAATCATCCTGCCTCAGTCTCCCAAAGTGCTGGGATTACAGACATGAGCCACCATGCCTGGCCTTGGGAATTGCAGTTTATAGCCTTTAAAACTTAATTTTTTTATTGTTTCCTTTTTCTTCTAATGCTTATGTAAAGAAATTTTGATATTATAGAACTGTAGAATTGCAGAAGGGCAAACTTCCTGTATGTATTCTTTCCTTTCCTCAAAACTGTTATTTTTGTTGTATAATCTTCCAGATTTTTCTTTGTATACACTGACATATTTTTGAGAGTTAAAATGTTTATACTTACTATTATAACAAAATTCTTGTTTTATAGCCTGCTTTTTTTTCACTTAACAATGTATCTTGACTATCTTTCTATATTTATAAGACATTAGATGTGTAAAACATCTCATTCTTTTAACATCTGTTACATGCATGTTGCAGAATTTATTAACTAGTCCCACGTTAATGTCTGAGTTGGTTCCGTATTTTTACTGTCAACCAGTACAGCACTGAACACCTCTATGCAAAGAGGTAGAATCTTTAACCTTTTTTGTTGTTGTTGAGACAACATTTCTCTCTTGCTGCCCAGGCTGGGGTGCAGTGGCGCAATCTCAGCTCACTGCAACCTCTGCCTGCCAGGTTCAAGCGATTCTCCTGCCTCAGCCTCCTGAGTAGCTGGGATTAGAGGCGTCCACCACCATGCCCAGCCTATTTTTGTATTTTTAGTAGAGATGGGGTTTCGCCGTGTTGGCCAGGCTGGTCTCGAACTCTGACCTCAGGTGACCTGCTCTCCTGGGCCTCCCAAATTGCTGGGTTTACAGGCGTGAGCCACTGCGCCCGGCCCAGAATCTTTAACTTTTTTAAGTAAGTGATACATTAACATGATTAAAAGTCAAAAGTGACCAGGCGCAGTGGGTCACACCTGTAATCCCATCACTTTTTGGGAGACCAAGGTGGGAGAATGGCTTGAGGCCAGGAGTTCAAGTCTAGCCTGGGTAACACAGCAAGGTTCCATCTTGACAAAAAAAAAAATTAGGCGTGGTGGCATACACGTATAGTCCTAGTTACTTGGGAGGCTGAAGCAGGAAGATCGCTTTGTCCAGGAGTTTTAGGCTGCAGTGAGCTGTGGTTATACGACTGCCCTCCAGCCTGGACAGGTAATGTTTCTTAAAAAAAAAAAAAAGTCAGAAGTATGAAAAAGTTCTGAGATGGGCGGATCACGAGGTCAGGAGATTGAGACCATCCTGGCTAACCTGGTGAAACCCCGTCTCTACTAAAAAATACAGAAAACTAGCCGGGCGAGGTGGCGGGCAGCTGTAGTCCCAGCTACTCGGGAGGGTGAGGCAGGAGAATGGCATAAACCCGGGAGGCGGAGCTTGCAGGGAGGTGAAATTTAACCAGTGCACTTCAGCCTGGGCAGCAGAGCGAGACTCCATCTCAAAAAAACAACAAAAAAAAGAAATATGAAAAAGTTACACAGTAAAATTTATCCTGTCTTGCATTCGCCATATACTATTAACTATTACTATATGCTATTACTAGTTTTTTCCAGAAAGTTTTTAATGCTTGAATGAACAAATACTAGTGTATTTTCTACACACATACACTTTTTTTGTTGTTAGAGAAGCAGCAGCATACTGTAAACACTGTTCAACATCTTATATTTGCATTTTATCTTGAAGGTCTCACATATTTATAAGGAGCTTCCTCATTTTGATGGTTATACAGTAGTCCATTGTGTAGATACACATAATTTGTTTAATCAGTTCTGCATTGGTGAATATTACAGTTTCCAATTTTTGCTAGAACAGTGTTTTAATTGTATCCATATGTCATTTTGTACTTGCAAGTTTGTATGTGGGAAAAATTAATAGATGTGGTACTACTGGCCCTGCTAGGGGTTTGTGCATTTATAATTTAGATACTACTTTTCATAGAGGTTATAGTAATTGACCATCTCAACAGCAATAATGAATTGCAGTGCCTGTGTCCCATAAGTTTTCATACAATGCGTAAAACAAAACTTTGTAACTTTCCCAACTCATTAGGTGAAAAATACTCTGTCAGTGTAGTTTTAATTGTATTCTTCTTATGACCGAGTTTAAGCCTGCTTTGGTCCATTGAGAATCTTTTGTATAATACTATTTCTATAAATTCTATTTTGTAATAACATTTAAAATATTACTAGGTATTGCCAATTGTGATACACAAATGGTAAGCAGTAACACGTGAATATCCTCTCATTCTCACCTATACTGAATGTTAAGTAATTGGCTGAGAAATGTATATTCTTGAGTCCTTTTCTTCAGCTAAAAATAATAGTCAATTATATAATGAAATAATGTTAAACAAATCTGATTTCTAATGATGTTTATAGTATGTCTTTCTTTTAAAAAAATGCAAAGGCTAAATTTATTGTCCGATACTAACTAATATCCCATATTAACATAAGGTGTATTACATTGATGTCTTATTTAGCTTTTTCCCAGGAAAAAGGGTATTTGAAAATAGTGTTTTGTAATATAGCCTGACTCTTTAGGGATTCTCTCCTCAGGCACATGTGCACTGCATTAAGTGTGCTCACAATTTTTATAGTATCTTGTACTTTAGAATTGTTATAGCTAGATCTGGATGCATTACTTCTTATTGTTTCTGAGTCTGTGCCATATTTATCAAACAAACCAGAAAACTGATGGCACGTGACAGAAACAGGCTTATCACCCTGCTTAGTGATATGTCTCTTTGCCATAGCCACTAGGTTTTTAAAGTGGTGCTGTTTCACTCTATCCAAGACCAGATTTTGTTTCACTCTGTCTTCTCTCTTCACCATGACCTCGCTGAAACAGCCTCCCTCTTGATGCTTTATATGACTTCCTTACCAAAGGGGCTCAGATATTCAACTAAACAAGACAGAAAATATAACTTTGTATTAAAGCAAAAGAAATCAGAATGCAGTTCTGTGTAAAACATGCTCTCAATTATATTTGAGAAGAATAACTTTTTGAAACATTTGAAAGATACATGGTAGGATATTAGCAGCATTTGCATCTAGACTGTTGGATTTAGAGCAGTGTTTTATTGACTGTGTGTGTGCATGTATATGTGCACAGATTTTTCATTTACGGACCTAGGAGGGAGGAGCTTGGAATCTTAAAAACGTCTCTGGGGAAGAGAGGTCTATTGTTTGTGGATACGTGTATATGTGTGCAAAGATACAACTGAAAAGATTCATTGGCCCAAACTCAAATCTGGCTTTTTGAGTCCAGATTGAGCTTCTTTCTAACAAAGATCCAAATTCAAACCTTAATGTGAAAAAATCTTTGTTACTGTAACATGATTTTTTTTTTCTTACAATAATTATGGAAGATAAATGTATGAAGTCAAACCCAGCATTGAAACCCTAGGAAAGCGAACATTCTTAATTTTGGTGATGGAAAAAATAGTAACATTAAATAGTGTGTATATCACCTTTAGACAAAGTTCTGTAAAGAGTTAATAAGATCCAAAGTTGTTTAACAGTAAAAACTATATATATATATAGATTTTTTTTTTAAAGACAGCGTCTCACTCCTGTCGCCCAGGCTGGAGTGCACTGGAGCAATCTCAGCTCATTGCAGCCTCAACTTTCCAAGTTCAGGTGTTCCTCCTACCTCAGCCTCCTGAGTAGCTGGGACTACAGGCACACACCACCATGCCCGGCTAATTTTTTGTACTTTTAGTAGAGTTGGGGTTTCACCATGTTTCCCAGGCTGGTCTCAAACTCCTGAGCTCAAGCAATCCGCCTGCCTCAACCTCCCAAAGTGCTGGGATTACAGGCGTGGGCCACTCGCCCAGCCAGTAAAAACTTTTAAACTCATTTGACAAAGAGTTCAGGGCATGTTTGTTGATTAAATAAGGCAAGCGTCTCTCTCATAGCTTGAATACATTTTTTAAATTCTTGGTAAATAGTATTGTATGTCATAATTTTTATTACAGGCTAAGAAAAGAAATGCCATGTTGTGGGGTAAAAATCAGGAGACCTTTCACTGATCCCCTCTGCTTGCCTATATTGCCCTTTTTTTTTTTTCAGATGCCTAACCCCCTTTATTTCACACACCTATGCAAATTGTGAGGCCGAGGATGTGACTACAAACAGTTAAGATTTGATTTACATAAATAAGCTTTCTCCCTCATGAAAATACACTGTGTCACTTCACACTTGGTCTGACACACACAAAAAATTCTCACCCTATGTGGCACAAATACACTGAGCATGCAATATTAAGTACACTTTCCATTTTATTTTTCTCCAGAGAATAGTCCATCTTCAGTCTTTAAGGACGCAGCTCCTTACATGGGCTTTGGTGGGGGTCAAGGGGCAGCACCCACAGATCTAAACTGGGGTGGAGGTATTTGATTCTTCTCCATGAGATCAATTCCTGACTACTTTGTTGTGAATTGCACAACTCACACAGTAATGTAGCTTCACATACAACTTGGGAAGCACATGGACATCAAAGACGCTTGCTTCGGAAATGTCCCTGACTGCTGTGGCCTTCACTGTGTATCAAATGACGAATTTCTTAATGGCCTTGTCCTTGAGCACGCATAGGGCACAGTTGGTGCAGCAAACAGGCTGCACGTGGCAGTGGCCCTTTTTGGCACAATCATTGTTCCTTCTTTTCTTTGTCATCTTGGAGGCCCAGACCGTAGAGAGGACTATTCCCCTAACTTTTGAAAAATTCCATATACCTTCGATTCCTTGCTGATAGGATAAGTTCAAATTTGTAAGGTTAATAATTTTGCATTCATAATGATAAATTTTAATAGAGATTCTGTGCATTACATGAATATGGAGGGTGGGAGAACTCTGTTCTGGTAGTCTTGCAGCTGTTAGTAACAAACATACTGCTGAGTTTTTTACTTGTCTTTTTTTTTTCCTTCAGTGACTGAAGCAAGGCTGTGTGACATTCCATGTTGGAGAAAAAAAGAAAAAAAAAAAAGCTGAATGCTCTAAGCTGGAACGTAGGATCTATAGCCTTGTCTGTGGCCCAAGACCTTGGCCTTGTGTACAAAAATGACAAAATATTGCAATAGCAAAGCTGAACATCTAACACTAGCTATCTCCTGCTAGATCTCCTTGCTCAGCATATAACTATAAATACATGTAAAATTACATGTATATGGCTATATTTTTATTTGCTTGCTCCTAGAAGAGAAAAAAAAAATCAACTTTGAATCACAACTAGGAATTGATGCTTTAATTTTTGGATACTTTTTCAGAATTTTTAATTTACTATGGTCCGGCCTAAGATCCTCTGTTGTATCAGGTTTTGTGCACAAAAGAAAAGCACAAAAGTTGAACGCACATGGGGCATGTGCTTTCTGTGCAGCAAATAATCTGGATGAGGTTCTTTTTTCAGGCCTACAGTCAAATCTGTGTCCAGAATTTTTTGACTTTTTTGCTTTGTATAATCATAGAATTCGTTGCTGCTGATTTCTATAATGATTCATGTTGTTGTGTGTGTCTTAATAACTGAGGGCTGTCAATAACCTGTGATTTTGCCTTTTCTATAGTCTTACTCCCATGAAGAACCTTGGTTCTGATGGAGAAAGTGAAAAGCTTTATTTCTTCCCCCAGATATCTTTATATTTCTATTATATTTTTTAGTTGTGTACTGTGTGCTAGACATTTTTTTCAGTTTATTACAAACACAATTTGGTAATCCCTAAATTGGTTCTGCCTGTCTCCAAACAGAAATATCTGTACAAATCTTGTTGGTATAGACTACTTTCTGGAAAATGGTCAAGATAAATTCATGTTTTCTTTAAATTTCTAAGGTAGTATATGGTATAACTTGTTTAAAGCAAATCAGACTGAGTTTGACATTTAATTCAATATTTCTGGCATTCAGTAACGGGTATATATGTTTGTTCTTCCAGTTTGGGTCAGTTTAAAAGATAGGTTGCAAAGTATACATGGAAAATGTGAGCAATGCCTCTCTGCCTCTTGATCAGAAACTTCAGCAGAGCAGTAAAGATTCCACATGATTCAAACTGAAATGCATTTCTTTGTTGCTATATGAACTTAAAATGTAAAATACCTTTTTCAGTTTAAGTCTTGTGAACAACATTGAAGCATGGAGATGAGGCAAGGAATAGTGCTCACTGAAGTTGAAATGACTGCCCACTTCAAAATCTTCATTGTGTTTACACACCAGTGTATTTATACAAATCAGAGGCATTTTGTAGATGCTTCGCTGACTTGTTCAGCTCTGTAAAAACACAGAAATCGGACCCATTTTGTAAAGCAGAAAGTCATGTCACATGGAACATGTCCTGTATATATCACCTACATGGTAATGGAGTCTTAATGATAAGTGCAAGATAATAATTTAATGATGGGATTAGTCTGATCGCTTAATATGCACAATCCTGGAAGTGAATTACTTGCATCAGATATAGTGATATTTATTATTCTGTACAGAGAGAAAAATACATATAAAACATATGCTTACATTACATGCACGCAGATTTCACGCTCCATAATCTTTTCTATTTTTTAATTTACCTTTCTGTAAATGATGTGCATGGAATATGCCTTATAGAAAAATGCTGTTCATAATTTGACTACGTGGAAAAGTGCCTATATGGTGGTAATGCTAGTAAGGCAAATAAGACAAATTATCATGTTGGTTTACTACATCACCAGTTAACATTTTATATTGTGATGTTTAAAAAAGAAAAGTTTATACCTCAAATGTGTATTTTATTTTACAATCAGCTGTGGGTTATGGGGTTGGGATGGGAGAATGGGAGGGTTGGGGAGGGCAGGTTTATTCACCATAGCCACTGATAAGAATCTTCAAAAAAATTCTGTATGCTCACTATAAATGTTTCTCTGTTTGCCATTTCTGGTAACTGTCATGAACACAGACAGTTAACTCTTTCATTACTAAATTGGATAGCTTTATTTTACAGAAGTATGGAAAGTTTACAAAGCAATATCTAAATCTAATTATCACTAGTTGCATTTGGACTAAATGTGATGATATACTTTTGCAATTCATTCTGTAAATAAAATGATTACACTAAAATATTTGTATTAAGAGAAGAAAAGATAACATTTTACCTTTAGATAACTGCACTTTTACTTCACTAGAGTTAATTCCACCCAATCAGATTGAGAAATAAATTGGTGAATATGGAAAGAGTCCAAAAGAGGTCAGAATTTGGAGAGGTACTGGCCTTCTGGACAACATTTAGATCCTCTAGAATTATTTTCATTAAGCTGATTCATACATCCTGAATATTCATGTTTTCTCATCTACAGATAATTTGTCTTCCTCCAAACCAAAAGAAAAAACTACCCTTTACTCTCTTTTCTACTCAGTTTATCTTTTGTGCTATGTTAGAAACTTGAAATCTATTGGTGATGTGGGGTTTTATCCCTGACTGCCACTGCACAGGACAAGAGAGCACAGTGTTTCCGTTGGAATTCAGGACTCCTGGTTTTGAGGTAGAGGATGATCACTGCAGTACTTGGTTTGGTATTGCCACAGGGGTAACTAAACCAAAGGAGGGTTATATCTGCAAGGGAGGTGTAAGAAGGCAAAATAAGGAAAAGGAGGAATGGGTTTTCTCTTTGTTCAGTTTCATCAACTAATTTATACACCTAATACAACGTCAGTGTCAATTGCTATTAAGAAATTTTTAGTTGGGCTGAGCTGGTTCTCTTGTGAAATTGTGCTGGTTATCTTTAAGCTTATCAGTTATTTGTCCAATTAAACACTTTTCACCAGTATTTAGTCCGAGTTGTACAGACGATGTATTTGGATTTTGTCATGGTTCATCTACAGACTCAAAACATAATCATTTTAAAGTACCTTGGGAGTGTGTAGAGTAACTTCTATAATAGCTTTATGATCCTGATGATGTTTTTTAAACATAATAAAGTTGGATCTTCCATGTTACAATCACAAAATTAAAACCAGTATTTAAAGTGGAAAAGTATTAAAATATTATGGACAAATATGCTGGCTTGATTTGTTTTCCTTAACCCTGAGATATTGCCCTACTCTGAGTAGTTAAGAGCTTGAAATTCAGTGTTCTTCCTGTAACCCAGTTAGGGATCAAGAAGACAAAGTTGCAGCCGACAGTTTTATTTTGTTTTTTTGTTTTTTTTTTGAGACAGAGTCTTGCTCTGTCACCTAGGCTTTGTGTGCAATGGCATGATCTTGGCTCACTGCAACCTCCATCTCGCAGGTTTAAGCGATTCTTGTGCCTCAGCCTCCCAAGTGGCTGTGATCACAGGCGTGAGGCACTACGCCCGGCTACTTTTTGTATTTTTAGTAGAGACAGAGTTTCGCCATGTTGGCCAGGATGGTCTCGAACTCCTGACCTCAGATGATCCACCAACCTGGGCCTCCCAAAATGCTGGGATTACAGACATGAGCCAGTGCCCAGCCCAATTTTTTTTTTTAACAAAATATAACAGTGGAATATATCAAGTATATGACATGTAATAAATATTTTGTATGTATTTTGTCATATGTATTATACATATGTGTGTAGTGGGTTACAGTTTACAATGAATTTCTTACTGTGGATCACGTCCAGAAGTTTTAAAAGATTGCTAGAGAATTAAACTATATTCACTTGGGTGTTTCTAAAATGGAAGCACAGTGCTGGCGAATGATACACATTTATTTTGTAATTGATCTGTATGCACTTAACCATAAATAAATCATCTCATTTATTTAAATCTCATTTAAATAATCTCAGCTCCACTTGTTGCACTCAGGGAATTTATGCCCTAGAACAACCATGAAATGGGAAGTGTGAACTTGCAGTTCACTCAGCCAGTGGATTTGTATTGAAAGGCACTGAGCATATTTCTTTCCTAGTGTTCAAAAATACATGACATCCAAACAATGTAATCTGTAAATAAAAACCAACTACTTAATCTGGTGGGATGCTGGAGGGAAAATCTGACTTGTGTTGAATTTGTTGACAGAGAAATATGTGGTCCTCATTCCTAGAGGGATTTTCTAGGGCAGTTTTAACTGCAGGTTTTGCTTTAGGCTTGACTTTGGAATATAACCTGCAAATAAGGTGTAGTTCTACCTAGCAGTTTCAAATGGGGTTGCTTTTATAGGCTCTTCCAGATTTTCTTCCATTATTTGAACTTGGTTACTACAGAGTTCATACTATCATTTACATTGTCTGCCTATTAAGACACATTTTCTGTGAACTTTCCACATCTGTATCCTTTGAATAGCCTTGCACAGATATCATAAGTGAAGCTACTTTATTTGGCCTCTTCATTCTTTCTTTGTATAGAGTTCTGTGAGGTTAGTACTAGAACAAATCTTTAATATCTCTGAAGTTATTAGAAGATGCCAAACCACGATGTTCCTGTGACCCAGGCTCTGTGGTTGATGAGGTGTTGTGTGAGGGTATCTCCGTTGTGTCTGTACCAGGCACTGTGCCTGCTTTTTCTGACTCCTCCCCACTCAGCAGTCCAGTGAGGTGATAGTGGTGATTGGTGATACCACCCCTCTTTTACAGAGGAGGGAACAGGTTGGGGTTCCAAACCTACTGATTGACTCAAGTTTGTTTTCTTCCCATTAGACTTTACTTTTTAATGCCTATGTGTAATATCTAGAATATAGTGTTTGATGGACTGGAAAGAACCAACATGCTTGAAGACTAGCAATTTTGGTGTGTGGGTCTTAGTCCCACACTTCAATATTGGCTTCACAAAATTCCAAATACACATGGTTCCTTAACAATGGTTCGATTTATAATTGTTTGACTTTATACAAAGCACTACAAATACATTACACTCCAACTTGCCATGGGGCTGTGTTCCAGTAAACCAATCATATACGGAAAATACTGTAAGTCAAAAGTACATTTTCAGCCAGGGGCAGTGGCTCACACCTGTAATCCCAGAACTTTGGGAGACTGAAGCAGGTGGATCACCTGAACTCAGGAGTTGGAGACCAGCCTGTCCAACATGATGAAACCCTGTCTCTACTAAAAATAAAAAAGTTAGCTGGGTGTGGTGGCACACACCTGTAATCCCAGCTACTCAGGAGACTGAGGCAGGAGAATTGCTTGATCCCGGGAGGTGGATGTTGCAGTGAGCTGAGACTGTACCACTGTACTCCAGCTTGGGTGACACAGCAAGACTCTGTCTCAAAAAAAAAAAGTTTTCAGCTTACGGTATTTTCAACTTGGAATGGGCTTGTCAGTACATAGCCACATCATAAGTCGAGGTGCTTCTGTCGAAAATGCGTTATTATTTTAACTTATTTTCAACTTACAGTGGGGCTTATCAATATGTGGTCCCATCACAAGGGGCTTTTATAACGATGTGTCTTATAAAATCCCACCAGATACAGAAAGGAGGTCAGTAAAGATGAAATTTGATCACGATTTGGTGCTTAAACTTTCTTCCTGTCCTCCAGCTCAGATGAAACAGGAAACTGAGTCATAAAACATTACTACAAACAAGCCCAAGGATTTTATCCCAGATTTTCAACCCAAGGATGAGCTGCAATGTAACTATCACTGTTTTGTTGGCTGCCTACCACAGAATGATCACTGAGGAAATAAACCAAGCTTTGGATTCACTGTAACTTGGTTTACTGTGGTTCTTTTCTGTATTATTGTTAGGATTGAGAGGTTTAAATGGTAACTGGGTCCAGCAGCAGGGAATCTGTGTGCAGCAGCTAAATCAAGGTGTAGTCAATGTACAAAACACTTTAGCAAATTGGGTATCAGTAATTCCCCAGCACCCTAAAACAGTTCCCAAAACAAGAATTTATTGAACTCCTACTACATGCCATAAAGGATTGGAGATACAGCAATAACCAGCATGTAGCCTTCATTGTTTTTGTCATAACCAAGCTTTTAAGAAATGTATCCAAAGTTAAAGGAAATAGGCTGGGCCGGGAATGGTGGCTCACACCTGTAATCCCAGCACTTTGGGAGGCCAAGAGGTCAGGAGTTCGAGACCAGCCTGGCCAACATGGTGAAACCCCATCTCTACTAAAAATACAAAAGTTAGCTGGGCGTGGTGGTGAGCACCGTAATCCCAGCTACTTGGGAGGCTGCGGCAGGAGAATTGTTTGAACCCAGGAGGCAGAGGTTACAATGAGCCGAGATTGCACCATTGTACTCCAGCCTGGGCGATGGGGCGAGACTGTGTCTCCAAAAAAGAAAGGAAATAGGCTTTGAGATCAGAAGCATTTGAATAAGGTACATTGAACTTACATTGTGACTTGGCCACATTTGAGATGTACAAAAGTGTTTTTAATTCTTGGTTCTCAGTTCTCAAAAGGTAGATAGGAAATGGGTTGTTGCTGTGTTTTAAGTTCACCAGCCTCTGTACATTGATAGCACCACATTAATGGTATTCATTTTAATTTAAAACTACAATTTATAATCTGTGACTCACTTTTCATTCCTAGCATCCAGTAGGTTTTTTGTTGTTGTTATTTCTAAGTAAATTTCCAAGTCCCTGGTACCATGTATTCAACATACTGAGAAAGAATGAGACTTAGGAAGACCAGAGGTTCTCTTGCTCTCTCACTTGAACAGCTTTTATCTTGGGCAAATCATTTTAATGTGTCTAAGTCTATTGTAATCTTCTATAAAATTATACAAAGCCACCTACTATGGCTGCATCACAGGGTTGTTTGGGGAAGAGCAAGATAATGTATTTTAAAGCACTATGCAAATATTAAGGAAATACACAACTGCAAATATGTGCTAGGTGCTGGGTTTTGAATGGTAGAAATAGGAAGATGAGCAAGAGACAGGAATAATGACCAGTTGCAAACATTTGGGGGCTTTGAGCAGAACCGTAAGTTACTTGGCTTGTCTGGGGTTTAGTCTACCTCCAGGACATAACCAGTAAGGGAGAAGACTAGGGGGAGAGGCACAGGCAGTTGGTTGAAAACCTTGAAGTCTATAAAGTTTGATCTTTGTTCTGCCAGCAGTGGGAGACACTGAAGGACTTTTTGGAGCATTATTATTGTACACATTTTAGAAATATCTGTGGGTCTTGCTGCCTGGTTTCTTTTGAATAGGGAATAAGTCAAATGATTTGGGTTTTGTTTTTTTGATACAGTCTCGCTTTGTCATCCAGGCTGGAGGCGTGATCTTCCACTGCAACCTCCGCCTCCCTGTTCAAGTGGTTCTCGTGCCTCAGCCTCCCGAGTAGCTGGGATTAAAGGCATGCACCACCATGCCAGACTAATTTTTTTATTTTTAGTAGAGACGGGGGTTTCTCCATGTTGGCCAGGCTGGTCTTGAACTCCTGGCCTCAAGTGATCCACCTGCCTCAGCCTCCCAAAATGCTAGGATTACAACATAAGCCACTGTGCCCAGCCTGATGGTTTTGTTGTTGTTGTTTTGAGGTGGTTTTTTGCTCTTGTTGCCCGGGCCGGAGTACAATGGCATGATCTCGGCTCACCGCAACCTCCGCCTCCCGGGTTCAAGCGATTGTCCTGCCTCAGCCTCTTGCTAAATGTTTCAATAGTGCCCTTATCTCCAAGAGTGAGTCCACACTCCTTGACTTCAGTCTCATATCAAAGGCATCTTTTAGTAGTTTGGCCTTACTCCGTCTTACCAGCCTGACTCCTTGGTCCTCTACAAAGATAAATTGTCACAGCCAGGTAGATTTACTGTGTCACTCAGCAATCCATGCTTACCTTCTAAGGAAATGCCTGCTCTCCTCCCCTTAGTCAATAGCTAAAACCTACTTCAGGGTCCCAACTTCTGAACTTACTTATATCAACCCCCTCAACTGCTATTCAGTTCTATTGTATGTCCTTTTCCTTTGTATTTGGATTATATAACTACTATGATATTGCTTGTTGTATTAGTCTAGAAACTCTGCTAATAAGCTAGGCTGTAGCTTATCAACTCAACTGACCAGTAGAACACAAGGCCCCACCTAAAGTCAGAGAGCAGTTTCAATACAGTGTATGTTTAAGGTGGCAAAAAAGTGAAAAAATATA